ACCTAGAGATCAGGCATCATCGAAATGTCCAGAACACAGTCTAGCACATTGTATGCAAGTGCTCAATAAATATTTTTTGAATGACCGAGGAAACTGAGGCTTTGAGAGGTTAAGTAACTCAGCCAAGGTCTCTCAGTAAGTAGTGGAGTCAGAATTCACACCTGAGCATCTTAGCCATTCCACTTCATTCCTCCAGGAAAGAGTGAAAACGGAAGAAATGGCCATGAAGGGATGTTATGGAGATTGGAGAGATCACATCTCAGAGCTCATGTTGCAGAAGGACACTGAGGCCCTGGAAGGGAGGGCACACCAAAGCCCTCTGGCTGTGTAGTGGCAGGCCTGGGGCAAGATTCCAGAGCTCTACTGATGACCCCTTTCACCTGAAATGTATGGCCAGATCACAGCCGAAATCGTCAACAAGAACTTGCAAAGCCCTAGAAGTTTGCTGTGGATGGATTAGATGAGATACTTGCTTCTCCAGAATGGACTGAGTGGCGTTAATTACGCTTTTTCAGCAGGAAGGAACACAAGCAGAGTCCCAGCAGGACGGGGGGAAGCAGAGAGGGGAAGAGGAGAGATGTATCACATAGCCGTTTACCTGGAAGATGGAGAGAGGAGAGGGGACTTAGCCCGGGGGCTGGCAAACATTTTCTATCAAGGGCCAGAGAGTAAATGATTTAGGCTTTATGGGCCCCAGGGCCTCCGTGGCAACTGTTCAGCTCTGCTGTTGTAGCATGTCCATAAGCAGACGAGACGTAAAGCAGCGGGCATGACTGTGTTCCACTGAAACCTGATTTACAAAAATAGGCAGTGGGCCAAATTTGGCTCACAGGCCACGGTTTGCCATCCCCTGTCTTAGATGGCTGTGTCTGGTAATCCAAATATGCTTAAAAAAAAAAAAGAATTGAGGAAGCAAAGGAAAAGACAGTCTTGGCGGGGAGAAAGCACCACCTGGCAGCCCCTCTCTTACCAGCCTGCGTGCGTTACTCTGCCTACCAATTTTGGATTTAAAAGTCCAAAATATCTTACCATCAAGCAAACCACTATTCCTTACTCCAGAGACCACCCCAGGTGCAGGGAGGGGAGAGACCCAGAACTCTACCTCTTCTGGAAGAAATTCTCGCATCTTTTCTCCAAAGGCAACACCTGGGGGAAGGCCGCGTTATCCAGCATGTCAGTTTGAGGAATGGTGCAATTTCTTCTGATGTTTTCTAGGAGTGGGCAGGCCTCGAAATTAAAATAGAAAATAGAATTTGGGATGTCCTCGGCATTGCTGGCGGATCCGAGTTCATCGGGATGGTCTCCTGGGATGAAACAGGAGCACCATGTTCTGTACAGAGATTACTTTCCCCGTGGGCCTTGTGGTTGGGGTGGGCACAAGGGGGCTTCTCTCTGCTCACAAAGGCTGGGTCATTGGGGTGGAGCTGTGCGGAGCTCACCTGGCAGGAGGAACAGGAGTCCAGAGAGGAGACCTTGCCTGGTGTCTTACTTAAGTGCCAAGCGAGGACTCAGTGGCAGCGGCCCTCTGGCCTGTGGTGGAGGGGCGAGGAGTAGGGGGAGATTGGGTGGGGTCACCCTATGCTTTGTGAGAGGACTGAGGCAGGGAGGTGGTCAGTGGGCCGCACGTCTGGGCAGCAGCCATCACAGCCCCCGTTTCTTACCTCGGAGCAGGAAACATGGGTGGTGTGAAGACACGACAAACACTGGCTTCCAGGGGACTCCCAGATGGTAGGATCTGGGCGGAGCAAAGGCACAGATAATCTGTGATGTGGCCACGTCCATGAGGTGCACAGAGCCATTGCTGGAAAAGATCAGTACCTGGGAACAAGAAGATGGTGAATGAAGACTCCCCCACTCTCAGTCACCCCAGCATGAAATACGAAAAGCAGCCAGAAATAAAAAACCAACAGGGAATTTATTCACTCTTGGGCACCCAGCCTCTGGATCCACCCAGAGCATTTAGGGGTGGCAGAACCGTGTATGCCTACTCCTCTGGCGCCTCCAGCAGCCGCGGGCCCTCCCCCGGGGCTGGGGCTGGTCGCTGCGGCCCTTCCCCCGCCGCGTGGCCGGGATTCAGTTCTGCAGGGGTGCAGACACCCTCTCCCCCCACCTCCTCGGGGCTGTTCAAGCCAACGGCCCCTCCTCACCTGAGAGGGAGCTGGGGCCTCTCTCTGGCTGGGGCTCTTTCCCCTCAGTAGATAAACATACTAAACTCCTGCACCCCACGTCCTCTCCTGGCTGCCACACCATTTCCCCTCCCTCTTCCTCACCCTCTCTGTACCCTGCACCCTCTGCTCATCATCTGTCGCCCTTGCCATGGACACTGGTCTCCACAGAGTACTGGGTTTCTCTTCATCACAGGACACTGGTCTCGCTCTCTTCAAGCTGTCCTCCCGGAGCTGCCAGGAGCCCCCTCCTGGTTTCCCTGCGGTGTCCCTCTCAGTCACCTCATGAGCTCATCTCCCCTGTCCTGGAAGTGGTGGTGGTGCACCGGGAACCGCTGCTCACCTTCCTGCTCTGACCAGCCATGCTGGTCCCTCTGGCTGTAACCACCACTAACCAGCTGGGGAGCACTGGACCCATACTTTAAGCCCTGGGCTCTCAGAGCCTCCGCTGGGGGCCCTGTAGGCCCCTCACCCCAGCAGGGCCACACTGGGAATCACAGGACCAGAGAACCAGCTCCACAAGCCAGGATCAACCTCAAAGCCTCCCTCTCCTTTGGCTGCAGCCCCAAGCAGCCCAGAGCTGTGGGATCCATCTCCCCACTGACACCTCTCCACTCTTCATCCTGCTCTGAACACACTGCTGCCCGGCTCCAAGTCCTCTCTAAGCTTCAATCTCCACCCCATACAAGGGCCTTTCGCCCCAACCCCCATCCCCTTCACTCTCCACACCCGACAGGAGTCCAATCCTGCAGCTCCTTGAACTTCCTGCAGTGCCCAGGACACACAGTGACCTCCTGCCTCCATGGTGCTGCCCTCTTAACTCCCTCAGCTCAGCTGTCCCATTGCTTCCTCCAGAAAGCATCCTCCCCACCCCACCCCGACTTGTGCAGGTTGAGTTAGGAGACCCCCCTCTCTGTTCCACAGCATCCTTTGCATGATGTATCACAGTCTGTCTCAGGTTCTAGGGGGACCCATCTGTCTTCCCAGCTGAATTGTGAGCTCCATGAGGGCAGGGACTTTCTTCTTTGTATCTGTGGACCGCAAAACTAGTCTGCCCAGTGGACGATAGGCCTTCAGTAGATATTTTTGGAAGGAATAATGGAACACATTCACTGAAAAGGAATGAGAGGCCTGAGGAACCTACCATGCCGGGTAAGTCTCGGACTGGGGCCACTGCACAGATGGCTTCCTCCGGGTGCTTCACAGGCCTACAGGAAACAAGACACGGAGACATTCAGACTTGAAGAGTTTTCAAGTTTTGCATCAGGAGATATGTCAGAGACTGTTCGCAGTAGCAGGAACTGGGAGCAAGCTAAATATTCCATTGATAGGAGAAAGCTTAAGTAATTGTGTTATGATACCGTGGGATAAAATTCAACAATAGCAACGAAAATGAAGGAATTGGAGCTGCACACACCAACATGTGCAACTCTCGTGAAGAATACTGCTAAGCAAGTTCTAGAATACCAGCATTGAAAAACAAGTTGGAGAACACAGACAATATGATTCCACTACAAGTTCCCTAAAATATGCACAGCTAAACAGTATGTTGCTTGGAGATACAGTCATATGGATGTGGCTAACTCTCAAAGGAAAACAGAGAAATGATGAATTTAGGAAAACAACATGGTAGATTGAAAAAAAGTGGCTAAAATATTGGTAGCAACTCCCAATAAAAAGGTGGCGTCTGTTTTGCCACTGCTTGAATGTAGGTGTGGCCATGTGACGTGCTTTGTCCAGGGTAACGCGAGCAGAGGCTTGGAAAGCAGTGCATCCTGCTGCCCTCGCTGGCTTCTGAGAGCCCTTAGGCTACCAGGTGACGGAGCCTCAGACAGCCTGCGGGAGAGGCCAGAGGCGTGCCCTGGCCAACAGCTGCCAACTGCCTGGTGCGTGAGTGAGGCCGACTTAGACATCCAGCCCCTCACCGGGCTGCCAGCTGCCCGCAGACACATGTGAGAGCCAAGGCGAGACCAGTGTGCAGGGATCACCCAACTGAGCCCAGCCCAAACTGCAGACCTACAGCATCAGAGGCTAAATGGTGACTGTTTACTTAAGCCATTAAGTAGTGAGGTAGTTTGTAGCAACAAATAATTAAAAGGTAGTCACATTTGAGGAGGAGAGAGAAGGATGTGATAGGGAGAAGCACACAGAGAGCCTTAACTGAATTGGGAATTGGAGATGATCTATTTCTTCAGCTTAGTGATGGGTACAGTGGAGTTTCTGTCTCTCTCTCTCTCTCTCTATGACTAAATAACCCCTCCACACAGGTCATTGTAGAGATCATTTGCATGCATAAAATATTGCACAGTTTAAAAGAAAGAGAGACCCTTAAAGAAACAGATAAAACTATTTTGGCAGAAATGACCCTCTCCTTGGTCATGCAGGATATGAAACATGTCATTTGTGCCATCATACAATTTTGTTAGAAAAATTTTTTTTTTTATTTTTTGAAGAGTGATTTATTCACTTACTTAGAGTGTTTTTTTTTTTTTTTTTTGGTCCAGGGGCGGTATTTAGGTTTTTATTTACTTATTATTTTTAGAGGAGGTACTGGGGTTGAACTCAGAACCTCATACATGCTAAGCATGCACTTTACCACTTGAGCTATGCCCTTCCCCCAGAAAATTTTTATATATAGGCCCACATGTAAAAGACACTGGTGATCTTGAGAAGCTCATTAGGAAAGTGATGACTATAGGGAAAGTGGACTTTAGTCTGAGACAGTCAGTTTTTTACTGTTAAATAGCGCCATCTGTCTGGCAGATCACTTATCCTTCCCTGCCTTCAAGCCACTGACCTCTCGACAAGCAAACTGAGGGTGGGTCTTTGGGTCCCCGAGGCTGCCACCAGGTAGAGAGCGCCATCTGTGCCCAGCACCACACACTTCATCTGGGATTTCACCGGCCCCTCGGGATACATGTTCCGTCCTTTGTGGACTAAGAAGTATTTCAGGAAGTGAATGCTTTGGCAGAGACATCTTTCAGGAAGAGCAATGACTCCAAGAGAGAGTCCTGGAGAAAGCAATGGCACAGTGGGTCAGAAAACGGGGTAGAGGGATGCAGCCGTGGGCGCAGGGTCTCTGACCAGCAAGTATGTGAGGCACATGAAGGCAAAACCAAGCAACGAGCACCCCCGAGAGTGAAAGCAGTAAACCCCAATGCCCAAGGGGTGAGGGGACCCCCAAAGGGCGACTGCTTCTAAGTCTGGAAAGGGGCTGGGGGGGAACCAAACCCATGGAGAGGGACAGAGTCAGCACTGGAGTGGATGAAAGGAAGCTACAAGCCAGCCAGGTACTGACCTACAGCTGACTGTGAGCTGTCCAGGTGTGTCAGAGGGGAAGCCGTGCTGGGCAGGGGCAGGGCTCACCTTGGGCCAGGTCCCACAGCGTGAGCACACCGTCCTCGCAGGCCAGCACCAGGTAGGAGCAGCAGCAGCTGAGCTGAGACACCGTGATGGGCGCAGCACAGGGCCACGCGCTCTCGGGGTCTGGTGGGGAGGACACCACTCACCAGGCTGCCCCCAGACCCCACCCCCACGCATCACCTCCACCTGCACAACCTGAGACCCAGACTAGCCTGCCTATCTGGACTCACCATCTCCCGTCTCTGTGCAATGCTGTCTCCTTCCTCAGGATAATGTAAGTCACACCGGTATTATACTACAGCTAACACTGAGTGCGTACTTACTAGGTGCTAACACTGCGGTGAGCACTTTACATGCATCATTTCATTTAATTCTCACAAGGATCTTATGAGGTGTGTCCCATTAGTAGCCCTGTTTTACAGATGAGGGGACTGAAGCAGAGAAGTAAGTGACTTGCCCAAGGTCACGGAGCCAGTCAGTACAGAAGTTGAGATTAGTGTGCCTGGGAGAGGGTTGGAAGGAAAGAAGTTCTTCCTTTGTGAGTTTTTAAACGTTCCTTCTGAAGTACTGAAGTACAACATCAGTGTATAGCTCAAGGAATTATCACAAAGTGAACTTGCTCACGTAACAGCCTCCGTGAATTTGTAAAAACCAAACAACCACCACCCATATTTCCTAAGCGCCTTTCAATTTCAAAGAGCTCTTGCGTACAGGAACTCTCTGGATTTTGCTGTTCACAACAAATGCGTGCAGTAGATAGGGATGGTGTAACTGAGTAGCTTTCTGTTTCAGAGAAGAAAACAGGGGATTGGAGCATGACATGTCTGGCCTGAGGCTACACAGTCTGCAGACAGTTGTGCTGAGACTGGCCTTCCAATGCCAAGCCCTACCTTTTTTTTTTTTTTTTTTTTTTACTTTAGCTGCCTAAGGAGCCCTGTGGACTTGGCTGGACTTTCTCCCTACTGACCTGTCATCTTAAGCAACATGACAGTTTAGAGACATAACCTTGGGGTCACACCAGAGCCACTGAGCCACCCAACTCTGCCTGCCCAGCTCTGGTCCCTAAAAGCACGCTGATGTGTAGTCACGTGCTGTCAGCTAAGCTGAAGAAGAATATGCTCTGTGAGCCCTGAGCTTGGGCAACTCCCATCTTGGCAGTAAAGTACCAACTTTATCCTTCAGCGTTCGGTTAAGTGAATAGAGGAAGAAGTTGTGACTTCCGGTCCAGTGCACGCCAAGGACACAGGCCACCCCTGGGAAAGGAGAGAGGAAAGGGACGTTGTGTAAGGAGTCAGGTGGCCTTTGGTTTGTGTGAAGGGATTTGCCCAAGAGGAAGTCAAAAGTGGTTTGTTCTAATGCGCAGCACTCAACAGAAGAGGGAGCTTCCAGATGGGGGGGGCTGGGCACCCCCAGGAGGGCTGTTCCTAGGGCCAACTTGCCTTCCTGTGCAGAGAGGACGGTCACAACTGCCCCTTGGCTGCTTTCACATTTTCTAGGTAATTCATGTCTACTTGGCTGTCAGTGTTTTAAATGACATTTTCTACAAAAGGAATTCGTGTCCAGAAGCAGCCTGGTGGGGTGTGTGTGCACATACCATCCTCTGTGGCAGGTCACTCCCTGGACAGTGCTAGCCTCCATCATCAGGGAATCTGGGCTTGTGGGCCACAGGTCAACCAGAAACCATTAAGCTGCAGCTGGCAACCAACTTTCCATCTCATTTCCCCCCAGCGTGCAGGGTGTGCAGCGCGGAACTTCTTTAGGAGGCTTGCTGGGGCATTCCCCCAAGGTGACCGCTTGCCCAGGACAACTACCTACTTTATGTTCATTACCTGGTGGGTTCTTGACTTCTGCTGGCATTGCAATGATGCAGCTAGGAAGGAGGAAGTGGAAAGTGGCCATACTGGGAATGAAAGAAAGACGCTGGTCAGAGCCATGGCAGACTCCTTGGCAAGGAGAGATACTGGTAGAGTCTTGGTACTACGACCAGAAATGGGTAGTTAGGAGGGACCTTTCCAGGAGTTTAGGACCACTAGGCAAATCACATTCTATGTGCGGGTCCTGATGAATGCAGACCTTGGAAGTTGGTGGGGGCAGGGCGGGCAGAGCAGTGGGAGTTACCAACAGGCCGGGAACAGCACCCAGCATGGGCAGAGCCATCTCTGTCCTTGAGGAAGATCCCTTAATGACCAGACTTGGGTGATGCGCATAAATGCTCTTATCTTGGGACCAGTACAACCGGTGGTGGGCTGATAAACTGGCACTCTTTAAAAAAGGAAAAAACCTCTGATTTCTAGGATTTATAGCTTTTGTGCTATAAATACTTCTACTAGGGACAATTAAACCAGTGGTTTAATCACTGGCGTGCAAAATTCCGAAATATCTTGCTAGGTAGCACACTACTGAACCTTACTGGGTTCCAGTTCAGGCTTCAGGTGGGTGCTGTTAGGGTTTAGCCCTGGGACTTTGTGTCCTGAAGTGAGAAAGTTCAAAGTCCACTTGACGGCAAGATGAGAGGTGTCACTTCCCATGTGAAGCAAGAACATTCCTGAGATCCACAGTAACTGAGGAGAGCTAGTTCCTAAGCCAGCTCCACCAGATACTTCAAAGACTTGAACTCAGTTTTTACAATCACAACGTGGCGTTAATGAGGTCTGCCTGATGACCGAGATGAGAAAGTCATGCATTTTGATAATTATGCAGTATTATGTTTAGAAAGACTGGGTGAAAATGGAGAAAAATGTTAACAGTGGTGACTTCTATTTCCATCTTTAGGTCTTCTGTGTTTAGGATAACCAGGGAAAAATATTTCAAAGAGATGCTATCATATATAAAATTGTAAAATCACCTCTATTTATCTCCATAGATGTCTATTCCTTTTTTGAAATCCATGTTATCAGCCTTTGTTCTAACTATATTTAAACAATCTCATTATAACTTTCAAAACATTTTTCTAAAGTTCACAAACTATCAAGAGCTTCGAAACTTTGGACTAATTCGGGTCCTTGGGTTGATTCCTGCATGTGCCCAGAAAGGGAAGCTCCCAGGCAGTAGTGTTCTGGCTGGGCCTCCTCCCAGCTCACCTGAGCAGCTCCTCCTCCCACTCCCCATCCAGGTACTTCTTGTAGGTGGCGTTGAAGATTGCCACCTGCTGCTCCCACTGACTGTCCTTGATGAAGTGATTCTGCCCGGAGCCCAGCCCACAGCAGTCCTCTATCTTTGCAAAGACTTCCAGAGGGCTCTTAAATGTGGTACCTAGGTTGAAAATATTCCAAAATTGATCATATTCCAGAATTCTGATTTCCTCCTTCTAATCCCCTTCTCCCTCATGCTTCTCAGTTTCTTGCAGAATCCCTCATCCTCGGAGATCTGCTCCCACTTTGCCCAGGTGATCAGTCTTCCCCCCAGCCTCTCTCCTACTCCTCCAGCTCACAGGGCACAGGCAAAGGGCAGCTGCTCTCCCTCCTTCCACTTCTCCATCTCTTTCCTGCCATCATTCCCTGTTCCCAGGATACAGAATCCCCAAAGGAGGCCAAGGAAATGTTGTGATGTCACTATAGATGTCAGATCACTGTCACTGTCTCTCCAGCTCAGCAAGGCCCCAGACCTGCCAGTTCCTCTCACTGTTCAGCCACTGCTGAGGACCCACACCAGACAGTCCCAGCCTCCTCCCATTCTTACGTTTTATCCAGCTACCTTCCTTTAAAAAATCTCCTTTCTCTGCCAATCACTTTTCTTATCACCCTCCTTCCCAATAACCTTTCATTTCCTTCTTTTCTATCTGTTCCTAAATCCACAGTAAAACTAGGTGATTTATTTTCTGGGTTCACACCCCAGCTTTTAGAACTCTGTTCTCGATGGAAGGTGCCCAGGTCCCTTAAGTTGCCCATGAGGTCCCACGGTTCCCCGGGGCCCTTTCTGAGAGGCAACCATTGTTATCAGTTTCTTGCATAACTTTCTAGAAAGAGACCCCTTTTTTTATGAACAAATGGTAGCATATTAAAACATTATATAATACCTGTAGTATTATATATTACTATATGTATTGCATATACATTTGTATATATTTTATAAATGAATGGTAGCATATATTAACTAGCAGTTCTCAAAATGTGGTCCCAGATCAGCAGGGATCTGACAGGGTTAAGAAGTGCAGATTTTCAGGCCCCATCCAGACCTACTGAAATAGAAACTCTGTGGGTGGGGCCCAGCAGTCTGAGTTTTAAGTGAGTCTGATCCAGCTAAAGTTTGAGAATTGCTGTTATACACTAGACCCCTTGCATTTTGACTTACTCCTTTTCATTGCTGTATAGTATTCTATGGAGTGAATAAACTACAATTTATTTATCTGTTCTTTTGTTGATGGATATTTCAGTTGTTTCACTTTTGGGGCTATTGGAAATCATGTCATTGTTACCATTCTTGTACATGCCTCCTGGTGCACATTTACATGCCAGACTGTCAGGTATATACCTAGAAGTAAGATGACCAACTCGTAGTCCTGGTTTGCTCAGGAGTTTCCTAGTTTTAGCACCAAAAGCCCTACATCCTAGGAAACCCTTCAGTCCCAGGCAAATTGGTATGACTGACTTACCTAGGAGTGTAAATGCTAGGTCATACAATATAGCTTATCTTCAATATTACTAGATAATACTAAACTGTTTTTCAAAGTGGTTGTACCAAATTTCATTGCTAACTGCAATATATGGGAGGTCTGAGTATTCCACATCCTCACCAACTTGGTGTGATCAATATATTTTAACTTCAGCCATCCTGGTTTGTGTGGGGTGGTATCTCATTATGGTTTTAATTGCATTCCCCTTACAACTAATTATGCTGAGCACTTTTTTACATGTTTACTGGCCACTCGAATAATCTCTTGCCTGTTTTATACTGAATTATCTGTCTCTTTCTTAATAATCTGTAGGAATTCTTTATATATTCTGGATGTGGACCATTCATAAGTTTCATGTGTTTTGCAAATATCTTCTCCCAATATGTGGCTTGCTCTTTCATGCTCTTATTGATGTCTTTAGATGATTAGAAGCCCTTAATTTTAATGTAGTCAAATTTATCAAAATTTTCTTTTATTACAAAGTACTTTTTGTGTTTTGTTTAAAAAGTCTTTCCCTACCCAGAGATCATAAACATATTATCTTATATTATTTTCTAAAATTTTATTGCTTTGTTCTTCATATTTACTTCTATGATTTACCTGGAATTTATTTTTGAGTATAGTGTGAGGCAAAGGTCAAGTTTCACTTTTGTGTCCATTTAGACAACCAGCATCACTTCCTGAAATGACCATCCCTTCTCCACTGCTCTGTAGAGACACCTCTGCCAGGGAGCAAGTGTCCATTTATGCCTGGGTCTGTCCTGTCCTCTCTATCCTGTTTCATTCATCTATTTTTCTATCTACTATATTCTGTCTACCTATATTTCTATATTTTATATACATTTCTATTATTCACGCATCTATTTTTCTACCTTGTCTTAATTACTGTGGCTTTATAATAAATCTTGATGGATCAAACCATATCACCAATTCACATAAGAGTTAATTGGCTATTTTTGGCCTTTTGCATTTCTCTCTTGTTTTTAATGGTTGCAAATTATTCCCTTGTGTGAGTGTACCATATTTATCTAACTAGTCTTTGCCTCTATAAACAGCACTGCAGTGAAAATTCCTGTAGGTATACCTCTGAGGTCATGTGTGAATACTGAGAGGATATACCCTATATCCTCTGTCTACATGGACTTCCCTTCTGCTCCTCTTGATCAGCTCCCACTTATCTTTCAAACCTTCCCAAATTTCCCTTTGGGAAAGCCCTTGCCTATTCCCTGGGCAGAATCAGTCACTCCTTCCTCTGTTTTCATGGTCCTGCATATTCCCCACTGCTGTGCTTATCATGTCCCATTATGGTGGTTTCCTCCTATTCTCCCTTAGTACACCAGTAATTTTTCAGTTTTTAGAGCATAGGAGATAAGTCTTACTCATCTTTGTGCTTGATGCATTATTGGCACTCAGCAAATACTGATGAATAAACGAATCCAAAAATGGAGTTCCACAAACACTTAGGAAAGATGTGTCTTTCCTGATCTCCCAATTCTGTTAGTTAACTGTACCCTTGTCACATTTTTAAACATTTTTTTTATCTTTAAGTCCCAAAGCTTATGACTTAAAAAAATTCTCTTTAGAACTATACTTGTAAAGTAGATAATAAATGGAAAAGACGGGAAATGTGGAGAAAGGCAAAGACAGAAAAAACTGAGAAATCAATGCAAAAGGAAAGAGTATTCATTGAATTATACTGACCTGTAACTGGTTTGGGTGGTTTGATCTTCATTATGTGAACTGGAAGACTCAGTTTAACATCTCCTCTAAAACAGATGTTTATATCCTACAATGAGGAAAGGGCACAGCCAACAAAGGAGATAAAACAGAATCATTAAAAACACTCATTCTAAAAAAAGGCAGAAAAAAGAGGAAAATGGGAGAAAAACAGGTGGGACAAATAGGAAGTAGACAGCAAAGTGGTAGATTTAAACCTAAACATATCAATAATCACATTAAATACAAATGGCCAAAACACCTCAATTAAAACGTAGAGATTGACAGAGTGTATACAAAGATAAGACCCAACTATATGCTGTCAAAAAGAAATTCATTTTAAATACAAAGACACCAATATGTTAAGAGTAAAAGTATAGAAAAAAGATACGTCTTGTAAACTCATTAAAAGAAAGCTGGAGTGGCTGTACTAATATCTGAACATAACATATTTCAGAGCGTAGAATATTACCAGTGATCAAAGGGTCATTGAATAATGATTAAATGGTCAATTCTTAAGAAGACATAAAAGTCCAAATGTTTATGTACCTAATAACAGACCTTCAAAATAAGTGAAGCAAAAATTCATAGAAGTAAAAGCAGAAATAAATAAATCTCAAATTTTAACACTCTTCTCTCAATAATTGATAGAATAAGTAGACAGAAAATCAGTAAGAATATGGAAGGGAAAGCAGTAAGGATATAGAAGACTTGAACATCATGGACCAACAACAGCAGAATACACATTCTTTTCAAGTGCACATAGGACAGCAGGATAAACCATATTCTGGCCATAAAACAAGTCTTAATAAATTTGAAAGGTTTCAAATTATATGAAATATGTTCCCTGATCTCAATGGAATTAAGTTAGAAACCCTCAAAAGAAAAAGAAAGAAAGCTATCTGGGACATCTCAAGTATTTAGACACTAAATAACATGCTTCTAAATAATCCATTGCTCAAAAAAAGAAATAAAAAAGTAAATTAGAAAGCATTTTGAAGTATGTTTGAAAATGAGAACATATCAAAACTTAAAGGAAGCAGTTAAAGCAGTACTTAGATGTAAGTTTATAGCACTAAATGCCTATATAATGGTTCAAAGTTCTTGGTGTAGGAAGACAAATATTTTAATGGAACAGGATAGAAAGTATAGAAATATACAAAGGAATGATAAAGATCACAAAACAAATGGGACAAGATGGATTACTCAAAAATATTTGTGCTGGGAGAGAGGGTATAGCTCAGTGGTAGAGCACATTGTTAGCAGGCACAAGGTCCTGGGTTCAATCCCCAGTACCTCCATTAAAAAAATAAATAAAAACCTAATTACCTGCCTTCCTCGAAAAATTAAAAAAAAAATTTGTGTTGCAATTGCTATTGAAAAAATAGATAAAAGTCAATTCCTTCCTTGCTCCATTCACAAAAGAAACTTCCAAATGAATTAAAGAGTGAAATGTCTAATATGAGCAAAAAACAAACAAAACCTATGAAAGTACTAGAAGAAAACACAGGAGAATTTATTTATAACCTTGAGACAGGGAAAGCCTTCTTAAGTGTATTCACCATTAAAAAAAGATTGAAAATTCTGACTATATCAAAATCTAAAACTTCTTTACAACAAAAAGCACATAAACAAAATAAAAAGGGAAACAACAGGTTGGAAGAAAATATATAATGAGCAAAGAATTCACATGCAATTCGTAGAAGATAAAACCTCAATGGCCAATAAGAATATGAGGAGTTAATGAAAATTAACACAAGATGCCATTTTGTTTCATCAGTTCACACACACACAAAATTAATAACATCAAGGTCAGTGAGGCTGTGGAGAAATATTGATTAAATGTAGACTGCTGTATCATTTTTGGAGGACAATTTAATAGTATCTGTATCAAAACTAAAAATGCACATACCTTTCAGAAGCACTTGGGTATACAAAGAAGAATTTACAAAGATTTCCATTGCATTATGTAAAAGCCACAAATTGGGAACACCCTCAATATCATCCAAGGCCTAAAAGCCAAATCAACCAGGGTACCTCCATAATAGGAGGTCAAAAGAACAAAGTAGCTTCATTTGACATTTTGCCAAAAAATTTTGCCAATAAGTTGATTTTTTAAAACGTAATTTTGTAAGAGATATATATGATGCCACTTGTATAGAAGAAAATTCCCATACAACAAAACTACATTTTTTAAAATAAACTGATACAAGAATACAGATACACACTAAATATCTAGAAAACACACACCAAGCTAATAATGGTGATGACCTCTGGAGAGGGCTGCTCTCCCTGAATTACCTGGCTTTTCCCAGAGTGATATGTTCACATATGGTTTGTATAATTTGAAACATAAAGTAATTCAAAAACAGAAAAAGGAAATAGCGCTAGAAAGAGACTTCCATGTGGAAGCTCACCGCTTCTCTACCGACTGGCCTGACCCCTCTGAGAGCTAAGCCTCTAGGAAGCACGGTGTGCTCTCTGCCCCAGAGGGAGGGCCAGGAAGCTCCAGGGAAGCCGCTCTGTCCTCTAAGGTATCCCAATATAGAGGCAGCTCCCCAACAGCAAAAACCAACAAGCAAGCAAATAAACAGACCACCTCGGCTTGATGGGTTGGGCTTTTATTTTGGCAGGGGCAAATTGGACGTTATGGGGCCTGAAGTATATATAATTTGGGGACTTCTGTAAGAAAAAGAACATAAAATTTTGAACACAAAATATCCATGACCACCCTAATGCCACTCAATTTGGGGGAAATTTTGACAGAGGAGAAGTTTGAGTGAAAAGAGATGGTGGTCTTAAGTGATTATGGTTAAAAGATGTCACTTTTTCCAATACATTGCTAGGGCCCCTCCTAGGGCCTTAGAAGGGGCCATACAAGTGAGGGGCCCAGAAATTTAACCTCCTTTGTCTTCAGGGCAATCCATCTCTGAACAAATGACCTGGGTCAATTACCCTCAAGGATGGGGGCCATTTTCAAGGGACATGAGGCACAAAACTAAGTCACAGAGAATCTGAAAACAGTGCCCTGATAGAACATTTTGTATTTGATATTTAAGGTAGATTTTAAATCAAAATAAAAGTTTTAACATGCAACTTAAATCTCTTGAGATTTTCTTTAAAGTTTCTTACCATTTCAAAAGTATCAGTCGTTACAGGGTCAAGAGTGTTCTGAGGAGAAAAATGAGAAATTAATTCACCACAGGTTTCCTTTAATCTTTTGAGATGCTCTTTCTTTCCCCCAGTTATTCTCATGAGAAGTGAGCTCATTCCAGAGACCCGGAGGACCAACATTTGTGTGGTCCCCTGGCCTGCAGGATTTTAACACATATCTCTATTCTCCGGGATGTATTTGGGGAAACAGGCAAGTGTTAGTGACAATAAGAGGAAATATGAATAGAGGTGAGGAGATCAGTTAGGAGACTATTACAAAGATTTAAGGTGAAGTGAATATGTCAGTGATGTTGACAGTTATATTTAAGAAACTCTTAAGCATAATTCATAATATAAGAAATACCACTGTAGAGGGGAGGGTATAGCTGAAGTGATAGAGCGCTTGCTTAGCACGCATGAGGTCCTGGGTTCAATCTCCAGTAGCTCCTCTATAAATATATAAACCTAGTTACCTCCCCCCACCAAAATAAAATAATTAAATAATACAATAATAAATAAAACACAAAAAAAATTAAAAAAAAAGAAATACCACTGTAACTGGTATTAATTGATTGCTTCTCATTGTATAGAAACTGAATGAATTACGGCAAGAAACCATCCCCATTCCAAGGTGCTTTTCCCACTTGGATAATAAATTAATCCCTCAAAAAAATGCATC